CAGCCTTCCCGGCCTTTTACATTTATATACAAATATATAAAAATACTTACAAACTAGGTTAATATGCAAAAAAAACAAGAGGAATTCTTAATGCTACAAATACAAGTTTTTTTTTACTTCAATTCAAATTAACGCTCTGGCTCCGCGTTCCTTGACCTGGCTATATGATCAAATTTTTTTCCTTAGTTCCCCCTTCATTATCTCGATAATTCTTTCTTTTGCACTCAGATCCCTGCCGGTAGCTAATTTCTCATCAACCATTTCTCCCCAATTATTGCCTATTTCTTTTCTTGCTTCTGTACAAGATAGTATGTGCTCTAGGTTTTCCTCGGCTCCCTGGAATAATCGGCATTGTGTGTTTTTGAAACCTTTCCCTGCCGTTCTCCCTACGTTCTCGCATCTGATTCTTGCCCACTACTCTTTAATCCAGCTCGGGTACCTTGTATTTTCCCAGAATTTATCTCTTTCTACTTCTGTTTTCTACAGTCGGTACTCGCTACAGTATCTAGATTTAAGTATTTCTTCCAGTAATATTCTAACTCTGCGCCCGACCGTACTGCTAGGAACTCGTCCAGTTTTTCAATTACCTTTCCATTTTCACTTGAAATCCGTATTTTATAATTTCTATGATTGAATTTAATTGTTTTATAATTTATTGTAATTTATTATATTTATAAATAGGTAGCATTTCCGTGCAAAAATAATCGACATACCGCATTCTTCAATGGCCACTTTTTTCTGAAACGTATTGTAATTGGAAGGCCCGAGTTGTGGTTGGATAAGAGACTACGAGTACATCGTGGTTAAAGTATGGCTACAGGCGAGAGTACCAAGGTTCGATTTCAAACTTGATAATGGAAAATTATATAATAATTCTATAACAAATCACTATGCCCTATATTTGATAAAATTATTAATTTTTATTTTCCATTGTAAGTCTTGAAGTTAAACAAAAAAACAACACAACGCGCCGAGTGTGTTTCGAAGAAAAGCAATAGAAAGAAAAAAACAAAAAAACAAATATATATAAAACTATAGTTACACAGCGTTATTTAAAATAAAATACATAATACATCTATTTTTGTCTGATCAAATAATAAAGGAAAACTAATTCGCTTTTCTCATGAACACACTCACAAACAGTACCTCCTGGATGGTGTGGAAACCTGTCGACCTGAAAAATTCAGTATCCCATAAACTATTTGAAATGCAATGAGATAAATAACACAGGCCGACAAAATTTGACCAAACTCCAGAACCTGAGACCGGACCTAGTGTACCCGAAGTATTTTGTTGCGCTGAAAACGAATTCGAGCTCAGAATTTAGCCTATACGTCTGAGTTCCGAGATATTCTAACCTAAAAGTGCAAAAAATACCGTTTTTTGCTCATTTTGAGGTTACATAGCATCTTGAATAAATTTTTTTTCCAAAACGAGGAAAAGCATCACAAAGGAGCACTCTTGTCCTTTGAAATCCATTTTTTAGATTCAAGATGGCTTTTTTTTTCATCGAGATATCATTGATTGAAGTTAAATATTTTCGCAGTTTTGTAACAACGTTGAAACAGCCTATGTAGCATATGTGAGGCTATAAGCCCAATTTATAAGTGATCGTATTCGATCGAAAAAATCTATATATGGGTTTTTGAGGTTGCTGTTAAAGAATATAAGGACAGATTTTGAAAATTCAAAACATGCGCCATATTGGATCCGCCATTTTGAATTTTCAAAATCTGTCCTTATATTCTTTAACAGCAACCTCAAAAACCCATATATAGATTTTTTCGATCGAATACGATCACTTATAAATTGGGCTTATAGCCTCACATATGCTACATAGGCTGTTTTAACGTTGTTACAAAACTCCGAATATATTTAACTTCAATCAATGATATCTCGACGAAAAAAAAAGCCATCTTGAATCTGAAAAATGGATTTCAAAGGAAAAGAGTGCTCCTTTGTGATGCTTCTACTCGTTTTGGAAAAAAAAATTTATTCAAGATGCTATGTAACCTCAAAAATAGCAAAAAACGATGTTTTTTGCACTTTTAGGTTAGGATATTTCGCAACTTAGACGTATAGGCTAAATTCTGAGCTCGGATTCGTTTTCAGCGCACCAAAATACTTCGGGTACACTAGGTCCGATCTCAGGTTCTGAGATTTGTTGGCCTGTGTAATTTACCTCGTGATAATTTGGCGACTGCTAATGACGACAAAAATTCTTATTGTTGTAATACTTATTCATATGTATATACATATCATCTTGCACATGTATTATATAACGTGTATACGTTTGATGTCATGATGAACGTGTGGATTCAAATTTTCACGATAATCGAACAGAATTAATTGAACATGAATGATTTGTTCTCACTATTATCTCCAACCCTTATTAAATTTCATTTTTCCAGTAATTAAATTATAAATTGATACATATAGAAAAAAAAATTTACGTTAAAGTGCATGCTTAAGAGCACCACTCGAATACGATGATAAATAAAGGTCCAGTAAATAAGAGTAAAACGTAATAAAAACGCGAATGCAACTATATGACTAAATAATTAATAAAAAAAATATTTTCAACATACCACAAGTTCATAGCAATAATATAATGTTATGATTTGAAGGGGCGAAAGATGGTTTAAGAAAAAAATCTGTCGAAACATAAGTGAAAATAATGGTCAGTTTACTTCTATTACTTTTCATTTATTACGAAGTGAATAAAAAAAACGCGTCTCATAATGGATGTACGATCGATCGACTAAGCCGTTTTCAAGTTATTTCTATACCATATAAGTTTACGATTTTTTTTTATGTACTAGCCATGGTACTGGTCTATGACGACCGATGTGACGTTCTCCTATAGGTATATATTCAATTTATTATAGCAAAATCAAATTGAAAAATATATATATGTATACGCTTGGCAAACGTTATAATTGCTATAGTAACTCACGCCCTTTCAATAATCAGGAAACACGCTATTTATAATGTTCAATCGACTTTTTATTAATATATCTTGCAGTTACAATAGATACATAATAATCACTTAAAATAATACTGTATCATATTTAAAATATAAATTAAACTGTTCAATCGAAAAAAAAAGTGGACCAAGCGAGGCTCGAACCCGCGAAAGCAAAAACAAAGTGGGCGAGTGCGCGCCTTAGCCACCTCAGCTACCAGCACACTGAAAATGTATAGTATGGAAGTTACATATGTTCATAGAAAAGCGCGGGAGCTTGGGAATCAGCATTTGAGCTTGGAATTGGAGTAATTGGGCTTAGGATATAATTATCGGCAACAATTTTCCGCAATAAATCTGTAAAACGCATAAAGATAAGCATCGTATTGATAGTATAGTACGATGCGCGTGGCAGACCGCCAAGCTCGCCAAAGTCAAAATAGCTTTCAAGCAAGCAGGGATACACTCACTACCGTTGCTCCGCCTCTCCTTCTCGCTCTCTCTCTCTCTCTCTCTCTCTCTCTCTCTCTCTCTCTCTCTCTCTCTCTCTCTCTCTCTCTCTCTCTCTCTCTCTCTCTCTCTCTCTCTCTCTACAGCCGAAGCTAGACAGACGCACACCCATTACTTTCCCCTCTTCTCCTTCTCGCCGACGCACGGTCTCTTGCCTCCATATGGCTCAACCCAAACTGTGCGTCAGGTTCGACCGTTTGGCTGCGACGGGGTGCTCGAACCAGGGGCTTCGGATGGGCACGCTCTTATACATTGCCGTCAGCAATCTCTCATATTATCTCTGAAAGCGCACTCCGACTGAACTCGTGAACTGAACAATAATGCTTCAGTTGAATTTAGTTTACTTCGGTTTACTATAGATGTCAATCGAGTCTGCGACTGAGCAACAATGTTCTATTTATTCTTCACTATTAGTTAAAATGAATAGTTGAGTTAGATGAACTATGATACATCTAATATATATCACTTTATTTGAAAAGAGTGAGTTCGCTCTAGTGTATTATAATTGAAAATTCTGATCTGCACATCATTGAACATAAAATTAACTATATTAGTACGGTATAAGAATATAATTAATTAACTTACAAAATTATCTATTCGTACTGCATCTACAGCTTTTCAATAAAAATGTTTTCGCGGAATCGTTTTTGAAAATGTAAACATCACTGAAACTGGAACGAGAGATAGAACAGCTAATTGTGGATGTACAAACGATATAGATTCGTCTCGACTTCATGAAAATGAGCAACATTGTTCCATTCGAGGCGCACGTGCGAAACAATGTCATAATAACCTTTTTAAATGCGCAAGAGTATTATGTTATTTTAATTAATTAAATGATAAACTTTTTAATATTTTTCTGTTGGGTATCAATAATTCGTGAGACGCACTAACGATTGATATATTGTAAAAAATTATTTTCACGATATAGACCACTATATTTGGAGAATCAAATTTGGGTGCTAGCGCCAGGACCCATAATTAATTTTATGAATGTTTCATATAAAGAAAATGAACATAATTAATGCACGAACGATATGTGATTAATTAAAAGCCGCCTAATCGAATGGTGTAATTAGTTTATAGATTTGTTCGATATTTTAATTGTTGGGTGCTAACTTTTAAGACCTCGTAATATTCCTCATCATTCTCTTACATGGATTTATTTTCTATAATTATATTCTTAATAATCAATGAAATTGTCTAATAGTGGAAATATTTTCAGAATGAGCAAATTACGAACATTGAAATACATTATTTCGGAGCAACAAAACGCTTAGTAGTTGAAATAAAATATCTTCAAAAATGTTATAATTACTTGTTTTATTTGATTAGTTAAAATAATTATATGAACAAAATAATTATAATCATTTTCATAAGCAGCATTGAAAGTTCTTTCAATAAATATTTATTTTATAAAGGAAGTGAAAAAAAAGTTGGTTGTGTAGTAATAGAGTTTTTATATTTTCATCTATATCTATATCCATACTCTATTAACTATAATCAAAATGTTAGATTACTTACAACAGCAGTAAACAGACATATCTTGTAAATTTTTAATTTAAATAAATAGAATTATTACTCACGTGGTAAAATAATTAATCAAATATGATTGATGTAATATCTAATATATAATTAGATAAGATACATATACGTATGAATGAACATAAAAGAGTATTTAAAAAAACACGTTTATTTATACACTCACACTATTATATGTGCAAGCAGAAAAAAATTATTTTTGAAATAAGAAGTTAATAGTATGGGATTGATATATAGAAGAATTGACATTTACCATTAATTGGATAATCAATTTTATTGAAGACATTTATGGTAGTGACAAACACTAACCAATTCTGACCTATATTGAATTGATTTTGTATTTCTCTATCTATCTTACAATTAAAGTCACTGCTTTAGATTGAGAGAATAGTTTTGAATTTTGGTTTTGAATATAATGGATGATACTTATGATGCTATTGTTTTGGGTACTGGTTTAAAAGAATGTATTTTATCTGGAATGTTATCAGTAAGTGGAAAGAAAGTTTTACACATTGATCGAAACAAATATTATGGAGGAGAGTCAGCATCAATTACTCCGTTAGAAGATTTATTCAGGTACAAATTACAATTTAATAATACTACTTTATAAGTCATATGCTCATAAAACAAGAATATTCAATAACTCGATAAATTTAGTGCATGTAAATAATTTAATATTAATACTATGATCATGAATTTTATTCTAGTAATTGTGTCTTAAATTGAATGTTTCATGAGGTTGGCTGTAATTTTATAATACTTAATTACTATTTGCAATGTCAAGTCATAATTTATATATAGTTACATTTTATAGTTATATCTGTTTTTATTTTGTTGCTATTATGATTGGAAAGTTTTATTTTTTCTATTTCGAAATTACAAAGTATAACATAATATTTGTTTCTAAAATAATTTACATAGGTATATGATTCCACACTTATATAGTGCATAATTATATTTAATGAACTAGTAAGTCAATGTAATTAACTATGATTTTCTAATTCATTAAAGATATTTGAGAAAATTTAATTTAAGTTGATATCCTACTTAAAAAAGATAAAAAATATTTGGTAAGCAGTGATGATATAAAATATCTAATTTCATCTGCAACATGTTTATTCAATGTGTATTTTAATATTTATGTCTTTGCAAATGTAATAAATTATTTTTTTGTGACCAATTCATAAAATGATACAATTTATTAATTTTCAATCTGTCCCTGAGAATAAATTTATATTACTGAGTATTAAATAATATATGACAATATATTCCAGAGTTATAGGAAATCAAATAAATGATAATCATGGATATTCAATCTATATAAATATTTGGTAAAAAGATATGTGTACCTTCTTCAGAATGAAGTTTATTTTTGATGTAATTGACAAAGATGATATATTGATTATTATTTTTTGATTCTAGCTCAATTATCTCTCTGGCTTTATTTATTATATAAATAGTTATATTATATGAACATTATAAATTCCAAATATATTCTTATCTCCATTTTGTATGTAATGTTTATCATACTCATAATCTTTATTTCATTTATTTTATATATTAAAACTTTTGTATTCAAAAAAATTAAATAAAATAAAATTTTTTATGTAGATTTCAATGCGTTCTTTTGTTTTTACAAAAATCTTAAATGTGTAAAAATATAACATGATAATACCTACCATTACGTCACTTTTACCATTATAAATTAATATTATTGTATTTGCAAGTAACTAGACTTTACTTAATCTAATTGATTTGTTAAGTTTCAATTGAATAAAGTGTGAAATACAGTGTTAACTATGTACAGTTATTGAAAAACTAAGCCAATTTTATCAAAAAATTATTAATAAATAAATTGTCTTGAGATTTTGATCAAACTATTGAAATTTTTTTACAAAAGTTATGTATTAATAGATTTTTTGGAACAATTGATTGAAAATGTATATTTAGGATATTTAATTATAAAATTCATAAAAGCAATCGACTAAATTTAGTAAGTTCACATGATCAATTATGATTTTACAGCTGATCGAGAAACAGAATCCCAAGTTTGAAATATACCGAGATCTCTACTTATTTTTTATAACCACATCTTTTATAGCTTTATGAGATATTAAAAATTGAATCATTTTTTTAGATTTTAAACAAAAATTGTATGCTTTAAATTGAATTAATCAAAGTTTGCAAATCAGTTTGTCAACACTTAGTTGAAAACTCCTTAATTATTTTTTTTTTTATCTATGCATCTTATAAGAGTTTTTTTACATCTCAAAATTTTTTTTCATGGCAAAATAAGCATTTAATAAATTTAACAGAATATAGCCTAATCAATATGCTTATCAATATGCTTATCAAGATCAGAATGCAGATTCATTGAACAGAAGTCTGTTATAAAGACATTCAATAACAACTGAACATTCATAACTGGCATGTGTTTTTGTTATAAAAGTTTTCATATCTTCCTTTTTTTTCCCTATAATATTTTTCTTCAAGTAACCAAATCATTAAATGCAAATACCATCTTTTCTACAATTTTTTATTAATCTAGATCCTTTTTGTTACTTCAAAATTTTTTTCAGTCACTGTTCTGACACTTTGTCATATATTTCTTCAGTCAGTCATTTTTTGTTTAAAAATTGCATCAGTTAAGAGAGACTCTTATTTGTGAACCATCACATACTCCTTGATTTATATTTGCTTCAGAAAATTTCAGGAATTTTACAAAAATTTATTTGAATGCATTACGGTCTAATTATTTCATAGCTTTTACATATTGTTTCACCAATCTTAATTTGATTTGGAGTGATGGTAGTCATACTACACTTTCAGGTATCAAATTATTAGACATAATGTTCTTAGAACCTTATCTGAAATTCACTTAAAAGACAGTCACTCAAGTTGTACATAATGCTTACAAGGAGAGGTCTTTGCCAATGGGAAACAGATTTTGATGAAAATTTTTTAGCATAATCTATGTAAAAAAACTAGACACGTGTATTGACGTTTTGGCCAATGGGTCATCTGAGCCGAGAAAAAAAATAATGAAAATTTGAATTTTATCCCTATTATTTACTTATGTAGACTGTTTGCCATTCATACAAACTGCTGTAGCTTTTGACCAGAAACAAATTTTTTGACGTGTATTCAATTCATTTTAAAGCTCTCCTTCCATGCTTTAAAGTGAGTTCTCATACAATAAATTTCATAAAATCTGGCTCGACTTATCACGCCTCAAAGTGAGTGTTTTCATTTTCGGTATGCAAAAATACCACTTTTTTATTATACAATTGAACATAATTTTCGGCCGGAAGCGAATTTTTAAACGTGTAACAACTCGATATAAAGCTCTCTTTTTACCTTTTAAAACGAACCTACACCCAATTAATTTGATTAAGTTTGGCTCTCAATCAAACTGCTTTTTACGACCTACAAAAACATAAATACCCATTAGGATCAAAAGAAAAGGATGTTCAATTCATACTTGCTATTTGAATTATTTGCATGCTATATAAGCGAATACCTTGAGGCTGAAATTATGTAAGGATTAAGGTAGGGTTTTGCTGCGCGGGAACGCCTCGGCGAGTGCTGCTGCTCAGCTCGTCTGTGCGCCTCGGCTGCTGAGGTTGTGACTACTGCTGCTGCTGCTGCTCAGTTCCCTGTTTCAAACTGCTATTCGTGCTGCGCATAAGGTCCACTATGAGCCTTGGGCTCCCAGGATCTCGTCGCGACGCGGGTGTAAGGTCGATCGCACAATAAAGATGGTTATGCGTGGAAAGATGACTTTATTTACAGACACTTATTTACAAGCTCCAGTCGCCACAGCTGTGGATACTGAGCGAACGGAGTCAGAACTTAAACGGCGATCATGTGAGAGAGCAATCGTTGCAGCGACGACTACTGTGGTGTGCTCCGTGTGGCTTGCGTGCCGACACGTAGCTCGTCACTCACTGGTGCTCGCTTGCTACGCGAAGTCTGCTCTCGGCGCGAGTACTTGCTTGCGAGGTTGACGCCGCTTCTGAGTACTGCTGTAGTGCTACCAGCTGATGGAGCAAGCTGGCTGGCCGGTACGGGCGCTACAGCCCCTTCCCCCTGGAGGTTACCTGACCTGAAGGCAACCCAGAAATTGTTCCAGGTGCATGAACTGCGTGAGCTGCTGATTCCGGCAACGAGAAATGGACGCGCCGGGGCGCCTTGGTCGCGGGCTGCGGCTGATATTCTGCGATGTATCCGGGTACCAATAACGGCCTGCCATTCACGTTGATGATGTACCTGCAATCATCGATCCTCCTGATGACTCGGTGTGGGCCGGTGTATGGCGGTGCGAGTGACGGCTGGGCGACAGTTACTCGCTTGAAAACATGCGATCAGGTGTGAAGGTCCTGGTGCATAAAGATTTTAGTCTTTATGTGATGTGCCGTGGGCGTTGGCTGCACTACTCGGAAGTGGTCTCGGAGAGCATCCAGGTGAGATGGGCCGGTCGTCTTTGACGAAAAAACCTTCTGGCACTCTGAGAGATGTGCCAAACAGCGGTCTGATGGAGATGCTCCGAGATCCGGCTTGAACGCCGTGCGGAGTCCGAGCAGCATAGTGAGCAGAATATCTGTGGCGACTCGTGCACGGCATATTTTCGATGTTCGATTGTGAAGTTGCCGTCGTAGAGCTGATTTTGTTATACATTCGACGCGCCAATGTTTCTACATGATTTTTCTTCAGTCGTTATTATGACAGCAAAATCATAATCACATATTAATAAAGCTATTTACTATATATTGTCTCTACACATTCATTCTCTTCATTGGTGACCCCGAATTAAAGTATATTTAAAAAAAAAGAAAGTTAACTTTTGAGAGTGAAGAATGGTGTTACCCCGAGACAACCAGCAAGAAGAGCTCAGTGCACAACTCGAACAGTTTCGCCTCGACAACGAGCGACTCACTCGGGAACTGGCTCAGCAGCAGGAGCAACAACTGCAACAACAGCGACAGCAGAACAATGATGGCCTTGCAGCAGGCGGCGCACCCGCCCCAGTTAACCTCATCCCTGCACCGGCAGTTCATCGTGTTGCTGTCAAGCTGCCGCCCTTTTGGTCGGACCGGCCTAGCATGTGGTTCGCGCAGGCGGATTCGCAATTCATTATCTCCAACATCACAAACGAAGTAACAAAATTCCATTACGTCGTTTCACAATTGGATACTCGTATAGCTGTCGAAGTTGAGGATGTCATCGTCAATCCGCCCGCCGATAATCCGTATACTTTTTTGCGCACCAAACTGATTGAGCGTTTGTCTGCCTCAGAGGAACAACGCGTGAGGCGCCTGATTAGTGAGGAGGAACTAGGTGATCGCAAACCCTCGCAGTTCCTTCGCCACCTTCGCACGCTTATTGGCACGACAGTCATCCCGGATAACCTTTTGCGTCAGTTTTGGCTCCAGCGTCTTCCGTCTCACGTTCAAGCCATCATCACTGCGCAAATGACGGCTCAACCGACCTTGACCCTCGATAATCAGTCCGAAATCGCTGACAAAATCATCGAGGTGTCTCCAGCAACGCCTTTATCCGTCCGAGCCACCTGTTTC